TGCTTCTCCCGGGACCTCTCGCCCTTTCCAGCCCATTTTCGTCCCTCCCGTGTTCCCTTTTGCCTCCCCCTGGGCATCCCATGCCACTCTCGGGATCTCCCTCTGCCCCTTCCAACCCTCCCCTTGTTTATCCTAGATCCCACTCCCCTCTCCCAGAATCCCTCCATCGCCCTTCCCGACTTCTCCTTCACCTTCCCGGGGTCCCCTCATCCATCCTGGACCCCTCCTCTCCTCTCTTTCTGGGTGCCACCCTCTGGGTGCCCTCTGGAGCAGGCAGACTGGGACAGGCAGGGGGGGACCCCACACCCCCCCCCCATCCCACCGTGGGGTGCCAGGGCTGTTTCAGGGTGCCAGGGCTGCCCGTGGACCCTGCCCCTGGGGTAGGGCTGTCTGTCCTCTCCCCACAGCGAGGGTGTGTGTGTGTGTAAGGCTCTGTGGTGAGCAGGCTTGTCCCTGCAGGAAGGGGAATGGAGGGGATCCAGGGAAACGTGGGAAAGCTTTCATGTTCTTGGAGCAAAGGTTTGGCTGTGGGGATCTGAGACCACCTCGTGCCCCGAGGAGAGCCTCAGCACTTTGCCTTTGATGGGTTAGAACTGGGTTTGCCTTCCCAGGCTCTCCAGCCAAGTGTGAGCAGGTTCAGGGAGAGCTTGTGAGTTTTGCTCTGGCCGTGGGAAAGTGAGAAGCTGTGGATGTGGCTGTGGGGGTTGTCTGGGCACACTGAGGCTTGTTTTTCTGCCATCCTCTTCCCCTCAGGTTCAGATCAGGTGATGTTTACTTAGCCAGAGCTGAAAGTCAGGCAGAAGACGTGGTGTGGTGTGTGCCAGGATTGGGAATGGCACAGAGCTCTCCTCACCCAGGAGAAGCTGCAGCTTCCCTCGTCTCACTTAACTTTTTTGAATGCTTAAAATTTTCACCTCAGTCTTTTCCTGGAGGATTTTCCAAAGCTTTTACCCTTCTCATCTTCCACTGGGACTGATGAAGAGAGCTGTCCTGCTGCCAGAGCCACTGGGCACCTGTGTCTGTGGGTGCATTCCCCCATGGATAGTGGCATCTGGAGCACAAGTTGGATGAGGAGCAGTTGGGAAGGCTCAGCCTGGAGAAAAGGAGGCTCAGTGGGACCTTATGGCTCTACCAGTCCCTGACAGGAGGTTGGAGCCAGGTGGGCATCAGGTTCTGCTCCCAGGGAATACGAGACAGGATGAGAGAAAACAGCCTCAAGTTGTGCCAGAGGAGGTTTAAGTTGGATATTTGGGAAAATGTCTTCACTGAGAGGGTGATAAAGCATTGGAAAGCCTGGAGAAAAGGAGGCTCAGTGGGACCTTATGGCTCTACCAGTCCCTGACAGGAGGTTGGAGCCAGGTGGGCATCAGGTTCTGCTCCCAGGGAATACGAGACAGGATGAGAGAAAACAGCCTCAAGTTGTGCCAGAGGAGGTTTAAGTTGGATATTTGGGAAAATGTCTTCACTGAGAGGGTGATAAAGCATTGGAACAGGGCAGTGGTGGAGTGACCATCCCTGGAAGTGGACCATGTGGAGTGGATGTGGTGCTTAGGGACATGGTTGGTGGTGGCCTTGGCAGTGCTGGTTGGACTCAATGATCTTGAAGGTCTTTTCCAGCCTTAATGATTCCATGACCATCCTGATGGTTTTGTTTTGCCGCAGGAATGTCAGTGCTGTTACTTAGCTGCATAACTCTCCATTTTCTTCTGTCATCCTTGGATTTGGAGGCTGAGAGGAGTTACAAAAGGAAGGCTCATCCAGCCCTGGGAAGGTCCCAGTGTTGATTTTAGCCACACCCTGGGGCTGATAGAGCCTTGCAGGAATTAGCTGTCTGCCTGCTCTGCAGCTTCCAGGGAGGAACAGCACATCAGACTTCCAGAGCCCTTTCCCCACCTCACAGGGTTGTTATCCACAGCTGTTATCCACAGCTATCCAAAACCATGTGCTATTTATATCCTCAGCCCTGCATGTGGCTTGTCTTTCTTCATAGCATCCAACTGCCTCAGTCCCACTTTATTTTAGGATCTCTGGTGGGTTTTTTAGGATCTCTGGTGGGGAGCCATGGCTTGGGAATCATCTGATGCTGTGATCTCTCCTGGAATTTTAGTCCCTGCACTCAGGGAGAGGAGTGAGAAATCAGGGGGAGATCAGGGCTGGAACATGGCCTGAAGTGATGGTGATGGAAGGAGGTTGGGACATAGGTCTGATGGTGGAAGTGGGTTGAGATATAGGTCTTCTGCTTCCTGAGGCTGTAAATATCTATCAGGGAGAAGGTCTTTGAAACAATGGGATCATCTAGGGGAGGGAATGCTCTTCCTAGAGCCAGGAACTCTGGTGTGCTTAAATCTAGGTTGCTGTGGAAAGCTGCAGTGCTGGGAAGATGGGCAGGGTGACCTGATTTTCAGTTGTTGGAGTGGAAAGTCCGGTTTTTATCCCAAGGCACTTTCTCCAGGATCTAATCTTTTTACTTGGCTACACAAATGGTTTGTCTGGGAGACTGGGACTCGCCCTTCCCTGCCCAGGATGTGTGCAGGGTGCTTTGGAGTCTGGAGCTCTCCTCTAGACCTACTGCCGGCAGAGTTTTGGGTATTCCCTGTGTGTTTTTCCATTTTCCCCTGTGCCTTTTCCTTTGGCTTAACCCTTCCCTTTCCCAGCCATGTCTTAGAGGTTGTCTGTCCCTGCCCACCCTGTGCTGTGGCTGGAGCATTTCCACAGCACTTGGTGTGGTCAGGGATAAATCTCTCACCTGATGGATCCCTTGTTGCCTTGGCAGATGGCTCTTCCCAATCATTGGCCACATGGGGATCTGCACATCCACCGGAGTCATCCGGGACTTCGCAGGGCCATATTTTGTCTCTGTAAGTAGACACTGCATCCAGGTGTGTGAGCACAATCCCTGATTTTCCCCTTCCTCCCTGACTTTTGAGCCATCCCTACATTTTGCAGCTCAAAGCTCTGCAAAGTCAGGATTGTGGGTTGTTGCTGTTGCTCCATGAGCTGTTCCAGTGGAGCTTGTTTGGGGCATTGGTATTTAATGGCTAGTTTGGTTTGGTGGGAAAAGGGAAAAATCTTGTAGTTCAGGCTCTAAATGAGGAACTTTGGACCTAAATTCTCTTTCGTAGTCTCATTCTGAGTAGCAGAAAATGCTTTCCAGCTGCCTCAGTGTGGCTGTTACTGTCCTGCTGCTCAGCACCAGGTCTTCTAAGCTGCTTGTGATCCAGTGGATTTTGAAAGTAAAAGGAGTTTTAATCTGGGAGAATTAATCCTCCTAATAGATTGGGACATTTACAGCGTTGAGTTAACAAAGTATGAGCAGTTGAAAAAAAGGAGAGGAACAAAGCACTTAGACCCTCTAACTAGATGATGTCACTGTGTCTAGAGTATAAATATCCTCGTGCCCAGGTCAGGAGCATGAAAACAGTGAGAATCTAAACCCAGGCACACACTGGATTGGTGTCTGGGGACTGCTGGGGTAGCCTGACAGTTTTATCACTCAGCCATCCCAGGCTGTGTGACCTTCCAGCAAGATCCATGCCATGAATATTCCACAGGCTTATATCCTTCTGAGTCAGTTTTCCTGTTGTTTTCTTTTTTTTGTAGGAAGACAACATGGCATTTGGGAAACCAGTGAAGTAAGTGCTGTTTGTGTTTATTAAACTACCCAACTGACCTGCTGGTGTCATTCATGGGGACAGATGTGCTGTGATGTTGCTTTTCTTGGTGTTCAGCTGCCATGACCCAAGTGGATGACCACAGTGTCTCTGCTTTTCAGGAAACCACCTTAGATGGAATCTCTTTAGCAACATGACAGCAAGTAATGGTATTAATACCTAGAGCTGTGTGGAGCCTTTGTTTAAAGAAAGGCAAAGAAAAGGCTAAAACATGTTGAGGTGAAGTTAACGAGTGCTCTAAGTAAACACTGCCTGGCTGGGCTAATGAGCTGTTGTCATTCACATCCTGTTAAGGATTTTTCTTGGGGAGGAGGAGAGAGAGGTGTTTGGGGTTTGTGTGTCTGTCAGCTCAGGTGTATGTCCTGAATGGATGGGAGGTTCTGGATCGTGGGATGTGAGAGCAGTTCAGGGCTTTGTCTGTGCCCCTGAGCTCTGTGGTTTCACTCTCTGTTGTGCTGAGCAGCTGTTTCTGCTGCCCTCTGCTTGTTTCCAGTCTGTGGATTCCAGTGGTAGTGAATTTCTCCAAGTTCTTTAAGCATGTGCAGGGCCAGGAGTGAAACTGATGATGGTCCTTGTGGGTCTCTTCCAATGCAGGAGATTGATTCCTGCTCAGAAGAGCAAGAAGTGCTGAAGGTGCAGCAGTAGAATAATGCAAAAGGATCTTGTTTTCATCCTTCTAGGTACTGGAAACTGGATCCCAGCAAAGTATATGCCACTGGTCCCAACGCCTGGGACACAGCCGTACACGATGCCTCGGAGGAGTACAAGCACCGGATGGTACAGCTCTGGGGATCCTGTCCTGTCTGTGTGGGGTGGGAATATCTCCCCAGAGTGTGGACCTGGCAGCAGGGTCATCCTCACTGCTGAGGTGCTGCAACCACCTAGGGGATTGGATGGGGCTTGGAACAACCTGGTGTGGTGGGATGTGTCCCTGCACATGGCAGGGGATGGAATGAGATGAGCTTTAAGTCCCTTCCAACCCAAACCATTCCATGCTGATTCTGTATCCTCTCGACAGTGTAGAGGGTTATCCCCCCAGTGGCTGTCTCCTTGCTATAGGAGTGGATCCTCTGACTCTCCACTAGAGGTGGAGAGCCTCAGGAACAGGATTTCTAACCCCTTTTTGTGTTGCAGCACAACCTCTGCTGTGATAACTGCCATTCCCACGTGGCTCTGGCCTTAAACTTGATGAGATATGACAACAGCACCTCCTGGAACATGGTGAAACTCTGCTTCTTCTCACTCCTCTATGGGAAATATGTAAGGTGAGCTAAGGGACAGTGTGGATTCCGGAGGCAAAGGGGCTCTGTCATCCTTCCAATCCCTCTAAAGCATCCACATGTCCTGTGGAGAAAGGAGAAACATCTCTCCCACAGCCCGTGGGTGTGTTGCTGGTGGGTGGTACTGTCACTGCCTGCTGCCTGTGCTCAGGAAAAGAACCAAGAGTGCTTGCTAGTTTGCACTAGATGCTGCTCCCAAAATACTGTTTCTGGCTGTTAATTTGGAGTGCCTGGAATTTGGGAAATGCTAGCTAAAGCAGATCTCACTCCATGTTGTCTTTTGGCTGGGTTAGGTCAGAACATAAGGTCACAGGATGGCTTGTCTCCAAGGATTACTGGTTTCTCTTCCCTCTCTTGAATCTTGTTTACATAAAAACTAGTCAGATTTCCAACTGCTGTGGAGCTTCCAACTAGAGTGGAGAGGGAAACCCCGAGCTTTCCTTAAGGAAAGGGCACTGAATCTCCATTTCAGCTCCTTGTGGCTGAAGAGGAGATTCTGTGGGGACTGCCCTGCATAAACCTGCACTTCTGCTTGGTCTTCCCTGTTCTGGAGAAGCTTCTTTACCAGCTCTTGGGCAAGGGGAGCTCCTGCTGTCTGGGCTAAATCCCCCAGCAGTCAGAATAACAAGCCCTGTGGTAATAGGGTTTCATTTTTTGTGGTTTCCTGTCACCACTGCTGTCTCTGCAGGTATGAAATGTGCTTGACTTCGACTTAATTTAAGCTGCAAGGAGACTTTAGCCCTGTTCTTTGTGATATATTTATTGTGGACCTGCTTTAGACTCAATTTTTACCCTGATTCTCCAGGATGGGCTGTGTGGCAGTGCCAGCAATGGATAACAGAGTCAGAGGGACATCTGTCTCCCTCTGATTTCTCCAGTTATTCTCCCATCCTTCTGTCTCGGCTGATTTCTCACATTTAAACCCTCCCCCTCTCTCCTCCTGCAGCATAGGAGGCTTTGTGAAGACTTGGCTGCCCTTTGTCCTCTTCCTGGGGGTGATTGTGACCGTTGTTCTCACCCTTCACCTGCGGTGATGGCAGCTCTGAACTCCCCAATCCGTGAGCACACGAAGGAAGAAACTGTGACTGATCCCGCGGGATGGAGGCCTGGGACTCTGGGAGCCCTTTTCCAGGGAAAGTGGCAACTCCACTCCATTGTAACAGCTCCTCTTTGTTTCCTGGAAATGGCTTCTTTTCCTCCTGTTTTTGTTCTGTCAGTGGTGTCTCCCAGTGTCAGGAAGGTCCTGCTCTCTCCCTTTCTGCAGCTGGAGAGGTGGGAATGAGATCAGGAAAGGAGAGGGATGAGCACCTTTGCTTTCAGTGCCAATGAGGCAAACCTTTCCTCCTCCAGGAGCACAAGCAGATACACCTTGTAAGGTTCTCTCTGATCACCTGCTTTCATCCTCTTGGCAAACTTAATCAGATGCTTCCTCAGATTCCCCGAGTCTCCCAGAAGGAGTTGTTGTTTTCCCTGTGGCACATCTCTCCGGTAGCACACGTTTCAAAGTGGAGATGTGGAGTTATTCCTGGGGGGATAGGCTGCCCCAGTGCTCAGTGACAGCCCCCCCAGCAGTGGCAGGAAGGTGTTGAGGTGGGACACTCCTGAGGAACGCTCTGTGGCAGGCCCAACTCCTCTGGTCCTGCTGGTGAGCCTGGAAAGGCAGGAAAGTCAATGGGCTTGGGAATGGCTCATGGCAGTCTGCACCCTCTCAGGAGGAGCCTGGTGCAGCGTTGGGAGTCAGCTGCTCTGTCCCTTTTAGCTTGTGCCAGCGAAAATACCTCTTCCCTGCTTCTCCCTGTGCTCTGAATAGCTAAAACTGTCGCTGCACTCCTTGCAAGCCACTTGTTTTCCTTTGATCCCTGTGCTTTGTGTCTCACAGCACACCTGAGCTGTGCAGGTGGTGGCAGCTCTGTGTTTCTGGGGCAGAAGCCTTAGCCTGGGGGTTGAAAGCCTCTGTGAGAGCAGCACCTGAGACCTGAGCTCAGTGGGGCTACCAGAGATGAAAAGAGGAGGTGAAGGGACTGGAAGTTGCCCATCTTCTGGCTGAGCTTTGCAGCAGCAAACTGGGGCACTGGCTGTCTCCTGGCTGGTTCCAGGGGGGTGAATAAAAAGTGATTTACCTCTTTGTGTGCTTTGGAGAGCACCCCTGGGGTACAGGTGCTTTGCAGGGCTGGGATTGATGTGAGGAACACTGCTCAGGCAGTTTTGGGAGGCTGACAGCCCCTTTGAGCCCTGGGTTGGGCAGGATGGGTCATAGGGGGTAGGTTGTTCCTGAGTGAGGCAGGAAGGGAGTTTGGACATGACTCAGAGCCCCTTCCATATCCAGGTCTGTGTCTGCTGAGGCTCTGCCCTGCAGGTGCTGATTTTGGAGGGCTCTGAGCCAGGTGGATTTTTAAAAACAAGTGTGTCTGAAGGGTCATGTGCAGTTGAGCAGATCCCTGCTGACTGCAGAGGGAGGAGAAGAGCTTTTCTTCCACTCATGCCTAAAAAACCAGCTCGTTGCTCTTCTACCTGAGGGATTTCAGCCTGAAGGAGTGCTTGTGGCCAGCAGGAAAGCTTTTCTGGGCTGCCATCTCTGGTGGGGGAGGCCAGTCACTGTCACCCTGCTGGCTCTCAGACCCCTCCCCGTGTGCCTCTCTGTCCTCTCCCACCTCCCTAACTCCTCCAGCCATATGGGAGGGTTGAAGTCTCCTCTTGGGCTCGTTTCTGGGCTTCCTTCTTTTCCTCAGTCACTTTTAAATCTCCCTTTAAGCCTCTCCCTTCTCCCTCGTTGTCTGTCACCCTGTGCTGTCCTTCCTGGGGTGGGTGCCAACCTCAGCTCCCTTCCCCACCTACCTGGAGCAGCAAGATGCCATGTCTGCTCCATGCAGTCCTTTCAGTCCTGTGTGAAGAGCAGGATGGAGGGTGCTGGGCCTGGGGCTGCTCAGAAAACCAAGATCTTCATCAGAGACCCTTAGGACAAAAGGACAGTATGTTCCCGAGCTCTCCTGCCTCGCTGTGCTCCCTGCCATGCCCAGGGCTGGGTGGGAGAGAGGACTCCTTTCCCTCTGTGTTTATATAAGTGTGATTCCTTGGAATGACTGGCCCTGGGGCTGGAGCTTGACCCATCCCACGCCGCAGCAATAACCTCGAGCCCCCTCGGCCTCGTCTCGTGTGTCCAGTCCGTGTTTTATTTAGCTCTACAAGAATTGCCAAAGCTGAGCCTCGGGGGTGTCAGGAAGGCTGGCAGCCCCACTCCTGGGTTTCCAAACCACGCTGAGTGCCATTCCCCACTGTGAAATTCCCTCTCGTTTGCTCCCGATGCTTTGTGCCATGCCGGAGTCGGGAATGGCGCGGGCGAGGCCTCGTCCCTCAGCCTTTGTTCCCTTCATCTCTGTGGGGCGCTGGATTTCTTTGTAAATATTTAAACTCTGCTTCTGTGGTTTCATAATCCCAACGGCAGGGAAATAAACTGATTTCTGTGGATGTCTCCAAGAGCTGCATCACTTCTTGTGGAGGATTTTTCCTCTTCCCAGCCGGGAGCAGAGTGGGGATCCCATCTGTCCCACGGAGTCCTGACCCCTCTCCTGCCCACAGGGGCTGCACCCTTTTCCTTCATGGTCTTGCCCTTTTCCATGCTCCAGGGAAAACAGCCTGCTGTTGGGAGGGAGATTTGGGGGGGCAGGAGGATCCCCATCCTTGCAGTGCAGGAAGGGTTTTTGGGATTTAATGCCCGGGCAGGGGCAGCTGTGTGTTCTGGGGAGGGAGATGCCTGTAAACAGTTTCCCTTTTGTCTCTCCCATCTCTGATTTTCCCGGAGGCACTGCTTTCCCGGCTCCCTTCCCTTTCCATCTTGGAGCCCCCCATCTTCCCTGGGGAGGGGATGCCTGTGCTGGCCCCAGGACTGCCGGAAGCAGAGTGGAATGCAAAGAGTCAGCCTCATTTTCCCCTCTCCCAGCAGGATCAGCTGCCTGAACTGGGAGCAAGGGAAGCTGAGCCTGCTGATTGCAGATGCAGCCACTGATTTTCTGTTCCATCTGATATCCAGAGGCTGAAGCTGTGTGTGTGTGTGGGGAGTACATCAGCCTTAAAATTAGGTTGTGTCCGAGGCTGGGGGATTTCACAGCTCAGCCATCTTATGGAACACCACCTGGATCCTCCTCAGCCCCTCCAGCTAAACCACCTCAGCTCCTGCAGGATGGCAGGCAGCTCCAAGGGGTTTATCCCACACACATCTGTCACTGGAGGATGAGGTGAGGATGCCAAACCCCCCAGGACCACAAGGGTCCCTCCTCACCTCTCAAACCTGGCAGGATTTTCCTAACCCACTCCTGCTGCCTGGGAGCTGCAGGGAATCTGGCGTGGGATGTGTGGGAGCTGAGCTGCACAGTTCAGGTCATGGTATTTGGGGATTATATGGAAGCAGCTGGTCTGTGTGTGCCCAGATAGTCCTGCTTGGATGCCTGGAGTGCCCCCAGCTCTGCCCAGGGCATGAAGCTGGTGTGAAACCTGCTCCCCTCATTTTCAGCTCTCAGCATGGCCAGCCCAGCCCTGGGAGCCAGGAATGCTGTGAAGTGGAATGGCAGGATCCATTCCAATTGCCACATGGCCTGAATACTCATCTCAGAGTGACCCTTCTGCCCCTCTGCCCTCTCCAGGGGTGGCCAAGTGTGACTGATCCCCCCAGGCACTGTGATGGGGAGCAGGGCTGGGGGTCTGTGACCTCCCTCCCCATGGGAAGCTGGGAATGCCACCACCATGGAGCTGCCTTTGAAGTGGGGTCACTTTGCTGTAGCTGGCCAGAGGGGAGGGGCCCAGGGGTCACCCCCGTGCAGGGGGGACATCAAAGGGCTCCCCAGGGAGCAATATCACATTGCACTTTGGCAGCTGCACACTGGGAGCTTTGGAAGCTGCCGGAGGCTGTGGTACCTCCCAGGCTGTGGATCCCTCCTCATCCTCATCCTGTCATCCATAATGTTTCCCAGGCAGGGAGAAGGAAAGGGGGTGCAAGATCCAATGCTGGAGGTCTTCATGCTGGTGGCTTCCCAGACAGGCCTTGAGTGTCATTCCTAGAGAGCCACAGCTGGAAATGCCATGAGGTCCTTACTCTGTTGTGGGGATTTGAAATTGGAAACTAAGAGAGGGTGCAAGAAAGGAGCCCCTCAGCCTGTGGGAGTTGGGATCTGTCCCTATAGGAGCTGAGGTTCACCCCTCTGGGAGCTGGGATCTGTCCCTGTGGGATTTGGGGTCTATTCCCATGGGAATTGGGGTCTATCCTTGCATGCCTGGGGAGTGCTCAAGCAGCACATCAAAGGCAACATGAGGGCAGAGGGCACAGGAAGCTGAAAGCTCCTGATGGGGCCGAGGCCAGGTGACCCCAGTGTTGTGGGGGGACACCTGGCAGTGTAAAATCCAGGAGGCTGTCCCACTGCCGCTCCAAACCCACTGGTGGGCCAGACACTGCCAGTGCTCCAGTGCATGCTCCAGCACATGCCTCAGTTTCCCCCTGGAAGAACCAGACTAGCCTGCACCTCCCAGACTTGAGGAACAAGTCCTGGGGGGGGAACAGGGCTGGGAGCAGGACAGGACTTGCTCCTTGTCAGGCCTGGCTCGGGGCTGCCCACGCAGTGCAGAAATGAGACAGAACCTGTTCTGCACACCCATCAGCGTGCTGCCAGCACCCAGCTCCTGGCACCCAGCTCCTGGCACCCAGGAGCAGGGGCTGTTCCTTGAATGCTGC